TGTTAGTTTTATATTAGCTAACAACTAATATTTGCTTTTATCTTTTGGAGCAAACGAACCAACCACTGGTGAGGAGAATTAAACTTATATTTCTACCTGAGGCTTGAGAGGGGGCAGAAGCGGCGGCCTTTTATGCTTTTCAGAGACCTCTCTACTCCCACGCCTTGCACTAGTTACATGTGCTACATTTGTATTATAGATAGTTCTAGAATGATATAGGGGCTTGGGCTGTGTAAGCTTTATAATGGACTTAGGACATGACTCAGCAATAAGTAATTCAGTTCTTTGTCTTTTGGGCCGATCTCAGCGGGGTCTTGTAGCGCTAAAGCTATGCTCTACACCGCCTCAATTACGAACGGTTATCTTTAGAAATGACTCAGCCATAATGGAACTTTCTAGACTGTTCTCTAATTCACCCCTTTTTGTGAAGCAACATCATTACTAATGTTCTAGAGCTTTCCCAATTAATTAACTGATTCACGGACTTATGAATCACTTTATGCTTATGATCCGAAATCCAGATCATCAATCATTCCTTTGTTCCGATTTATTTGAGCTTAAAATCAAAAAGTTTTGATGATACAAGATCCGGTTTTTTAGCATTTTCTCCTCTTCTGATGCGATCAAAAACTGTCTGCCCACGCCAGGGAATACTCTGCCATATGGTATTCGGTCCGCCAGACTTCCGGGCGCCAATATATTTCCCTTGAGTCACATTACTTTTTGTAAGAATTAGTAAATAAATATATATGAATTATAAAGTGTTTCGCCATTTGAGCGATATCTCTGTCAGTTTTGAAGCTTTTAGAATGAAACGAAACCGTGGATAAAGTTTAGAAACACTTCTTTCAGATGGTAAAGATATTACAGTCAAAAGTTTACTGGTTCCCGAGATATTCACATTTCTTTCCCAATGTTCCTTCTTATTCTGCCGTCTATGTGCTATTTTCTTGTTGTGAGGATATATTCTTTGAATATTACACCTATGCCAGGTTCTAGGCATGCTTGTAGTAGATTAAATCTCATGCTACATGGGTGTGGATAACTTATAATGATCTTCTAATGTCTGTCCAGTCTCATAAAGATCATGAGATCTGTTAAACATCTGAACTTGTCACCTGATTGTTGACTATTCTGATAGATCATTGTTTTATTCTTTGAATATTATTTCTCCTACAGTGGGCCCATGAATGGCGGGACTGAGCAGAACAGACCTAACGGGGTTAAACATTAGCCAACTGAATATTACTGACAAGTCAGGTTATGGGGTTAGTGGAATGGCAGGCAATAACCCAGAAACAGAAAGGAGGGATAGGCCTGAAGGTGGACTTGCAGGGCAAGCAAGTGAATTGCCCAGCAGAGGCAGGAGTGCACTAGCGGACGTCGGAGCTGTCTGGAAGCCTTCGGGGCTCCATACTTAGGGAGGTGTAGGTAATATATTGAAAAGAGGGGGTGGTGACCATCGAGGGAAGCGGAGGTGATTGCGGAATACGGGAGCTCCGAGGTTAGTGAAGAAGGAGCAGAGGTAGTCCAGAGGGATTGGAGGCAGTGGAAGTCGATGGCTGTGGATGGATATGACATAATCCTGCGTCATGAAATCATGAGTCATGACATGTCACAAAATTTCATGACCCCTCATAACATGTTGAATTGAATCAGACATTTTTTACATTGAAAATTTTGGATTTCATGACAGTTCATGACAAATTGTCATGAACTGTCACCAAATTTCATGAACCATCATGAACCATCATGTGCTGACAAGGTTCATGACTGCTGGTGACACAATATGACATGATGCCTCATGGAGGTTCATGAGTGGTCATGAGTGGTCATGAACCTTCATGACCTTTCATAACAGGTCATGAAGGTTCATGGAGTGTCATGGAGTGTCATATGTTTAGTTTGACCTTTCCCAATCATGTAAAATGCTATAATGTCCCATGATGCATCATGGACATTCATAATGCTCCATGAACATGTATGATGAGTCAATGCATGAGATGTCACAAGCACTTATGAACTGTCATGTGACAGACCTTATTTGTGACAGCACTGACTGATCAACCTCCAACTCATGGTCTTGTGTTGGCACTGCACTGAACTCTGCTTTTCCTCCAGCCACCTTTGCTGCTTGGTGTCAGAAATGGTGCTTGAGGGTATTCATGGGAAGTGGAGCAGAGTATGGCAGTGTGAGTGATTACTTAGCTGATAGGTTACTCCATTGCAAGGCATCAGGGGGTTGGGATGTTGGGATGTTGGGATGTTGGTTTCAACAACTCAGTGGGAGTGTTGTGCCACATGCTCTAGGCTATCCTGTATTTCAGGTGTAGCAGAGTGGTCAGTCTGGTGCCTGAATGAGAGGAAGAGTGGTGAACATGACAAACTAATTGAGGGATGAGAACCAGGGAGACAGAGTGAGAGAATGAATGAGAGTGGAATGAACAATTAAACAAAGAGGCAAAGGAGGAAGGCAACTGACAACCTGGGTGCCAATATAGTAGCAGATCAAGTGTCAATATTTTACTTATTCATTCTTCACCTGGGTGCTTGTCTTTGATTCAATTTAACACTCCCCACTCATTTCTGCACTGGACCAACTGGGCCTTCCCATGATTTCTCTCCCTTATTTATACCTTGTAAATACTTTCAGGGACCTTAGTCTGAAATCAACTAGAGCAACCCCCCTCTTGTGTGATGCTTTCATACCACTTTCAAGGGTAACATGTAATTAACCATTATGGCCCCAATTGTCATTGTTGTGCCAAGAATCCTAATTTATGATCAATCACAATGATTCTTGGGAAGACTCATAGTGATTCATGGAGGTCCATGAGGGTCCATGATCCTTTGTGAAGGCTCATGACACTTCATGACACTTCATAGACAGGCATGTAACCACTCAAAACCTGCCTGGAACCACTTAAGTCATGAGCAATCATGACCCCCCATGCAGGTTCATGAACTGCCATTACACTTTTTGCAAGTTACTGGGTTTGTTGCATTGGATAGCTGTAGTTTAGGCAAGTTGGTTGACATGAAGGGAGCACAGCTGTGTCAAGTGGTTTGGGTTGGAGATGTAGGTTGGGTTTTCCATGGCCACTTTCTATTGTTTTATATTGTGTTGCTTGTGATATTGTGTTATTGGCTAGTTACATTTTGATATGGAGATTTCCCCTCTGCTACATTTAGATCTGGTCACCAAGTGAAGTGTGCTGGAGGCATGGTCAAGTGCAGTAGTCCTGAGGGAGGCAAGGTAGCCTCACAGTGTCCTCAGGGAGATCCCCACCAAGTTATAGGATGCCAAGTCCAGTTGAGTCTCTAGTTCGGTCTTGATTCTGTCCAGGAAGCCGCTTGCTGGCCCCCTTTTTATTTCTCATCCTGCTGGGTGGGAGTAGGTGTGGTGTGAAGTGGTTGTGGTTGTGGTTGTGGTAGTGGTAGGTTGGTGTGCCACTGTGCCACACATCCATTCCTATCCAGTCCCCGACCCCTCTTGCTCCACTCCCCACTTGTAATGTCAAGGCTGAGAATTATGATTGGAGGGAGTTTAGAGTGGCATTGGGGTCATGGATGGCATCTTTGCCACTTGGATGTAACTAGTTTTTACTCCTCATGGGTCTTGTCATATCCCAGAATCCCGATCCCACACACTCCCACCACACCACACCTTCCTAACAACTTCACCATCCCCTACACCATGCCTCCCCACTCCCCAGGTCACCTTCCTTCCTGACTGTCTCAGCTCCGGTCTGGTTGTGGCACACCGAACCTTGGCTACTCCCATCCCGGAAGCTCGGTCCTGAGTTGGAACATTCGGAGACTCCAGATTTGCTCCAATATCCCAATAGACCTCCGATATCCCATGACATACCCCTAAACCATTCCTCCACCCATTTCATTTATTGGAGTCACCCAACATCCTTCGGATATGCAACTCCGCTTTCGGAGCTACCTGCATCTTTCAGTGACCTCACTCACGTCATCACTTATTAGTCACCTTCCATTCTTAGCATGACTATCTTCTCCTTACCATTCAGTCGGCTAACCCCCCTTACCCATTTCTTGTTCCCATTCATTTTCCGGCCCATTACTCTGCCCTCCTCAACCTGACACCTTGGTTCCCCATTAAAGATATCGTTCGGGACCTTTCGGTACCTCTCAGTATCATTCGGCACCTTTCAGGTGTTCTTCTATTACCATTCAGACTTTGACTAAGTCCTTCCCATTCCCCCTTATAAATACCTGTAGATTAGAACCTGTAGTTTTCCTCAGTTCTAATCTCGACTAAAATGCTACCCAAAGTCCCTCTGAGTGAATCCCGTTCCCTTTCTACAAGATACCTCAGACATAAGAAATAGACTAACTGAGACGTTGTAACGGGGATTTGCTGGTGTACCATAAACAAGCCAAATCCTGCGATTCTACCACCCTTAGCCAATGTTCTCTATTCCTTATTTTTCCTGATTTTTCTGATTCCATTTCTAGTCACTAGAGCCCGATGTTTCCCTTTCTTATTGTTCTTTCCTTATTTGTCATTTTTGGATTCTTCCGTGATACTGTGACAAGCTGTATAGTTAGCTAGACAGTGAGGAGTAGCGGAATCCACTCCAAGTTAACGAACCTGTGCCTGCAACCACTGCAACCCTCCCCCTCTCTTCTGTCTCGAGTCTAGTGGTGATAGACCCGTTACAATGTAACAGAGGCACAGTGCTCCCTCCAAGTTGCTGAGGCCGTGTCCTCCTTAGAGCCTCTTGTACCACCCAGCAGAACTGGGCTCCCTGGAGAAGCTTCAATCCACTACCGGAGCTCTTGGATCCCCTCTAGTTGAGCCCCGCCTGCATTCGGACTCACGCATTTTCCCCTATACGATCCAGGTTTTTGACAGGTCTATTCAGTACTCACTTGTTATGTACAAGGTATTTCCTATTTTATATGGACTGGAAATGAAATGAATGGAATGGGGAAATGCAAACAGGCTGATAGGCAACCATAATAAAAAAATGTCCAATCAGGGACAGAGAAACAATAAAAGATATATGAATGAATGGAGAAATTGTGACAATGGATCTGAAATGGAAATTGTAAAGGTTAACTCCGCAACACTTCGCTACAGCGCCCGCCTATTCTCCCGTCAACAACCTCCTCGTCTCCAGCTTTCCAACGAACCCTCATTTGTCCCAATTGGTGCAGTAGTTCCTGAGATATGGCCATTGACAGGTGCTGTCAAGTGTGAGGCTCTACACTGTGCTGAATCATCCAAGTATGGGATTTTCATTATGCTCCATGGGTAAAGGAGGAAGGTAGAGCATCACCATTGGGTAGAAAAATGGCTAAGTTTGATGTATAGTTGTGGAGATCTGGGGAGGGGGTGAAATTGGTGGTGTGGTTGGGTGTGGGAATTTGGCTTGGGACTGTTGGGAATGGCGGGAAAAATATGGAAAAATAGGGAATGGGTGTATGGAGTGTTGGATAGTAAGGGGATGAGCAGTGGAAGTATCGGTGGGTATGTAGTGTGTGTTGTTGGGTAGAATCTGCAGAATCTGACTTTTTGCAGTGCATGGACTAGTCCCCACAGCAACATGCCCAATCCCAGGTGCACCAGATGACCTGGGTGTACACCTGTTGTCCATCCACACCAGATGCCCTTGGGATCTCCTATGGAGACACCCAGATGGCTGCAGCTGTGTGTGAAGATGATGTGGCACTTCCCACATCAGCAAACTTGGTAGGGAGCTCTCAGAGCTCACAGAGCTCTGTGAGCAAATTGAGTCTTTTTGCTGTGCACCTGGGTGGAGAAAATTAAATTTTTGAATGATTTTGTTCTCCTAAGGATGCAGAAGTGCAAAGATAATGTGTATATACATTTTTGGAAATGCATATTAAATGGCCAGCATCATTTTGAAAAGCTCTATGAGCTCTATGAGCTCATAGAACTTTTTGTTTTTAAATAATGGATGGTCTTCATATCTCCATGAAATCTGCTTAGTTATTTTGGCACCAGTAGTGCAAAGATAATATGGATATATGTGTGTGTAAAATGGCCATTGTCATTGCTCTGAAAGCTCTATGAGCTCATATACCTTTTGTGTTTACTATAGTTTAGACCAGAAATTTCCTGCACCTGTTTTTGCCTCTAATAAACTTTTCTTTCACAACCTGAAAATTCCATCCTAATCCTCTTTTGAGTAGATAAAATGACTTCTTTTTTGTTGTTCTTTCAATCTGTTGGTTTAGATTTCTCCCAGACTCCTTCCCAGTTGCTCACATGATTTCTCCAAGGTTTAGCCACAACTTACGTTGCCTCCGAAATCTGTCGAGTGACTGGTACAACTTGCAACATGTGATGTTCCCACACTAAGTTGTAATGAGTTGTACATAGGTTACAGAATATAATTTTTAGTATTTATGCATGCGGTCATTGCACCCAACCCAACCCATGGAGACTAAGGGAGCACATCCAAGGTTGTGAAATCAATATCTGGGTGTGCGTGAAGTTTAACAGTTTATATATTACTTAATTACCAGTCACTTGTTTGTGCCCAGTTGTTATAAAAATGGGGCCTAATTGGCCCATTTTTATAGTGTTCAGGTGCAGGGAGTGGCCGTGACATTGAAATAGTGTTACAGTTAATGTAACAGATGTTGAACAGTTGTCTTTACAATGACATTAACAAAGTGTGGATTTCGGTGATTGTAGATGGTTAAGTTCTTAATATTTACATGTCACGTGATATTGTACTGCATAGAGCCCATAAGAGGCTAAAAATGGGAAAATCCCATTTCACACCAGTGGCATAAGTGATACAGCATTAGCTGAGGCTATGCAGTTTTTTTAAGTGGCACATGTTCGATTCTCACTTAGGAAACCTTTTTTTTCATACCCTCCACTCCTTAGTGTACAGAAAACAACCATTTCACACAATTATTTCATGAGAGGGCCCCAAAAAAGTTCCCTTAAGTGAGAATTGAACATGTGCCACTTAAAAAAACTGCATAGCCTCAGCTAACGCTGTATCACTTATGCCACCGGGCACAAACAAGTGACTGGTAACTAAGTAATATAAAAACTGTTAAACTTCGTGTACACCCAGATATTGATTTCACAACCTTGGATGTGCTCCCTTAGTCTCCACAGGTTGGGTTGGGTGCAATGACTGCATGTGTAAATACTAAAAATTATATTCCATAACCTATGTACAACTCATTACAACTTAGTGTGGGAACATCATGTGTTGCAAGTTGTACCAGTCGCTCAACAGATTTCGGAGGCAACATAAGTTGCGGCTAAACCTTGGAGAAATCATGTGAGCAACTGGGAAGGAGTCTGGATTTCTCCCAATCTCATTTCTAAAAAAATTGAAAATTTTCATGTTGGCCACCCCCATTTTTTCAAAAATCAGTCCCTGAACACTGTATGCCTTTGTATAACACTATGGAATCATCCTGAACTAAAATATAACCAAAAGATGTGGATGTTTCACACAAAACAGCCGTGGGAAAATCATGTGCATGGCACCTGAACTAAGCAACCAAAAATGCCTGCCTTAAATGCCTGCCAGCAAAAGGCACAAGAACAGTGCTGTGAGGGCCGTGGAACATTTGGCAAGGGCCAGAAACCTCTCCCATCAATCCCTGACTCGGACTCTGACTTTCAAGTGGATGAAGATTCTGAATCTTCATCTGGTGAAAGTTCCAAAACTTCCTGAAGCAGAAGGAAAAAGATGAATACACACTCTCACTCTTTGAGGTGTTCAGGGGTTTAAAGAAGCGAGGGGGGGTTGATAAAAGGGCAAAGAAGGTGAGGAGTATAATGTGTTTCAATTTTGGTGGGTTGAGAAACAACAATCCAAGGCCAAATTGGATGGGAAAGCTTCATATACAGGGAACTCAGCCAGGACAGCTTGCAGGAGATGTTGCAAGCAGGGTAGCGGAGCACAAGGGGTGTCAGGGACCAGATAGGGAATGGATGCATGGCACAGCGGCACACCAACCTACCACCATGATCACCATGACCTCAACTACTTCGCACCACACCTACTCCCACCCAGCAGGATGAGAAATGAAAAAGGGGGGCCAGCAAGCAGCTTTCTGGACAGAATCAAGACCAAACTCAAAACTCAACTGGGACTTGGTGTCCTATAACTCAACGTGGATCTCCCTGAGGACACTGTGAGGCTTCCTTGCCTCCCTAAGACTACTGCACTTGACCACACCTCCAGCACACTTCACTTGGTGACCAGATCTAAATGTAGCAGAGGGGAAATCTCTGTATCAAAATGTAACTAACCAATATTATATACAAACAACCCTGCAAACACACATCTGCAAGCTTCCAGCATGTTCCATAAGACTCATCTGGTCACATCGCAAGAGAAAATAGAATAGGAAACACAATATCACAAGCAACAAAATATAAAGTGGCCATGGAAACTCGGCACAACTGCGCTCCCTTCATGTCAGCCAACTCGCCTAAACTACAGCTATCCAACACAACAAACTGCATCCAATTTGATGGAGAATTGAGTGAGATAGTGTTGAGGTGGGGAATATCCGGCACATTTTCCTAACTTTCCAACCACATATCCCCATGGTCCCAAAATTGGCACATCTTCCCAACCAGTCATATCATGAACAATGAATATTTATCCTCATTTTTCTGAAGCCTGAGGGATGCCAGGGACCATCTGTGCACCCCATTTCCCACGCATGCGCAATGAACATGTGACATGCATCGCGATATACAACTGGAATCTGCATATCTCTGTCAATACCTCACCGATTCTCCTCACGTAATGTGCGTTGGAATTGCCTCGATATTTTCTACCATTCATACTATAACCTTGTCACCTAATTCCTAGCCAACTTTCCACTGTGGAATTTTCTAACATTTTATCCTGCATGTGAGACCCAATATATCACCTGTTCTGGGGTGTCTGTGACCACCACCCCTACAACGTCAAGTACAGCGGGAGCTGAAGGAGGCAGCTGCAAGCTGTGACCCAACAGCCTTTGTGGCATTTAAGAGAGCTGGGGTGAGTTTGCCTTTATTGTGCATGCATACTGAGGCTAAATGTCAAAAACCCGGATCGTATAGGGGAAAATGCATGAGTCCAAATGCAGGCGGGGCTCAACTAGAGGGGATCCGAGAGCTCCGGTAGGGACCGAAGCTTCTCCAGGGAGCCTGGTTTTGCTGGGTGGTACAAGAGGCTCTAAGGAGGACACGGCCTCAGCAACTTGGAGGGAGCGCTGTGCCTCCGTTACGTCTCAGTTAGTCCTTGTATTTCTTATGTCTGAGGTATCTTGTAGAAAGGGAATGGGATTCACTCAGAGGGACTTTGGGTAGCATTTTAGTCGAGATTAGAACTGAGGAAAACTACAGGTTCTAATCTACAGGTATTTATAAGGGGGAATGGGAAGGACTTAGTCAAAGTCCGAATGGTAATAGAAGAACACCTGAAAGGTGCCGAATGATACCAAGAGGTACTGAAAGGTCCTGAACAATATCTTTAATGGGGAACCAAGGTGTCGGGTCGAGGAGGGTGGAGTAATGGGCTGGAAAATGAATGGGAACGAGAAATGGTGTTACAAAAATGGGGCTGGAAGCGCCCATTTTCGTCTGTTCTGGCACAGGAATAGGGAAGGGGGTTGGACATAATGGTTTACAGGTGGTTTCACAGATGGTTTGACATGTGGTGTAACAGATGTTAGCACAGCGGGTTTTTGGTTAATTATTGATTGGATAAACTTAATTATTATACAAATCACGTGATACAGAATCCATAAGAGTCTAAAATGGGTAAGGGGGGTTTAGCCGACTGAATGGTAAGAAGAAGATAGTCATGCTAAGAATGGAAGGTGACTAATAAGTGATGATGTAAGTGAGGTCACCGAAAGATGCAGGTAGCTCCAAAAGTGGAGTTGCATATCCGAAGGATGTTGGGTGACTCCAATAAATGAAATGGGTGGAGGAATGGTTTAGGGGTATGTCACGGGATATCAGAGGTCCGTTGGGATATCGGAGCAAATCCGGAGTCCGACTCAGGACTGAGCTTCCGGGATGGGAGTAGCCAAGGTTTGGTGTGCTGCAACCAGACCGGAGCTGAGACAGTCAGGAAGGAAGGTGACCTGGGGAGTGGGGAGGCATGGTGTAGGGGATGGTGAAGTTGTTAGGAAGGTGTGGTGTGGTGGGAGTGCGTGGGATCGGGATTCCGGGATATGACACTAAATAGCTTACCTGAATGAAGGAGAAGCGCAAGTGTCCCATTGAACCAGAGGGAGTGGGCAGTGATGATGAATTTTCTTTATCCTTGGATGATTTTGACAAGCAGATGAATGCCATCATGATGGGAATAGAGCTCATTGCACTGAGCAGTGATGATGATAGTGAGGTGATGGTATCATTCATGCATCTTGTATCTGATTACTGAATATTGACTGGTTAATAGATGGTGAATGCGAGTGATAATGACGACAGACTGACCAAC